CCTGAGGGAGGCAGGAGCGCTGGGGTACTGCCAGGTTGACCAAGCCTAGGCAGGAGAAGTCGAGATGCGGAGGTCAGGTTCGGACCACGGACCTTTCGATCGGTAAATTCGCCCTCTAACCATAGCCATATGGTCAAGGGATCAAGGTCTCCCTTCCCCGATGGGAATGTAGCGACTTGTCTCCTCATAGGCAATCCAATTACTTTCCCGACTCACTTCTAGTCTCCTATGTGAGGACAAGTCAATTTCTTAAATTCCTCAAACCTCAGGAGTGTCTGGTGGATATCCAAGTAGTTTTGATTACTCTATCATGACCTCTAAACAGCCCGGAGGTTCAAGCGTCCATCATCGATTTTAGCAGTTCCATCAACATTTTCAGGTGACCACGTCGACAGGAACGCAATTCTTGATGTTGTTTAGGGGCAAAAACAGCTCTGAGTATAGTTGCAACATGTATCTAATGAAGCAGTCCGTAAGGGAGTAATACGTTTTGGCTCGGGTTAGGTTATGCTGCAGAGGAATCTTGTTCTGCGCCACAGTACGAGTTTTAGTTGCACGTGTGCGCCGCGGGCACTGCTGAAGCTGGTCGTGATGCTATCCTCAGCGTGGTAGTTTGAAAGATTGGTTAGGTTGAAGCATCTGAACTCGCACAAGCGAGTGATTTCTTGCCAGTAACCGGGTTGATTTACCTGATAAATGCAGATGTTCAACAAACCGGCACCCATCAATGACGAGAGTGAAGTCACTACTGTGTGGCGCAGATTTTCATACATTAAATTCTGTCTAGGGAGCGTTACGTCCTTTTCTTTATATATTCGTGGTGCTACACATTATCTTGACAATTTTCTGTGGACTGCAGCAATCAATATTTGTTTGCTGTGAATCTGAGCATATTTGCGCATTTGTACAATGAACTTTCCAAAAGCCACCCACAACTTATTAAGTTCATCAGTAATGTCCCATCACCCCTCTTCATTCTATTCATTGACGTCACCTGGCATGGCACACCCCAAGTGAATACACATACACATACAAGTTCAGCTGTAGCACCCTTTCGGTGCCTAGATGCCGTGCAACCGAAGGAAGCGCCAGATTGCCCAAGCCTAGACAGGGGGGAAGTCGAGTGGTGGAGGTCGGATTCGAACCACGGACCTTCCGGTCAGTAAATTCGCGCTCTAACCACTTGGGCCATCTCGCCCTAAGTGCTCATAAATGGAGGCTGGTGTGTTGAATCATGCGGACAACATTAGTTTCTCCGTCGACTTCCGCTCGCACAAGCTGCCCTCCAAAGAAGTGGGTCCGTGTTTTGGCATTTGCTTTGCACCTGCAAGACTTCCAGCTCCCCGGGCATCTTTGAAACTTCAGGTTAAGGAGTTGGTTGGATGGTCGGTTTACATATGTTGACAGCTGCCTAATGTTTATCTCTGTCGTAACACATTAAGTCAACATATGCATTATCCGGGAACAGGCGACCTTTTCTTCTTCTTCTTCGGTTGACATGACAACTAGGCACCGAAGGGGTATTGCGATTGAATTTATTGGGCTAAGGTGATTGGGGAGTATATAATACATGTTTGATCACTGTCTGTTAAAGTAACCATTAATTTCTCTTTCAAAGCACTGCGGGAGTCTTGCTGGAGACATTCCGTACCATTGCAGCTAAAGGCAGCCACGGTCTTGCTGAATGTTTGGGGGTGTTTATACCCTCCTGAATGTGGTTCACTTGGTTCCGCTTGCACGTTAATGAAATCCCTACAAGACATCGTAGCACTCAGCATACCTTCACCATCTAGACGGGCTGCTTAGAGTTCGTTGGTCTTGCGCTCATCCGATGTTGAATTAAGTTCGCCAACAATGCTGACTCAATCTAGGTGATGACCTATCACCCTGGAATGATGCTAAGATGTTTATTTCAATGCCGCTGCACATTCCTCTCGTTAGGAGGGTAGTATAATGACGTTCAAGATTGGTAAAAGAACCAGTGGATCTGATTGCCAGCGAGACCATCAAGGATAAAAAGGCTCATATATATATATATATATATATATATATATATATATATA